GCATGTCGGGCACTCCAGCGACTCGCCAGCCACGTGGAGACCGGGCAACAACAGCTGGGCAGTGAGCCACGCCCCCTTTGGGCGCAAGCCACGCCCCTCACTCCTTTGCCACGCCCCACCCAGCTGATTCCCTCCCCAGGGCCGCAGCCTCGGCTTGGCGGGGGGGACAGTCCCAGGATTAATCAGCCAAGGCGGGGCAGGTGCTGGCTTGTAACCTCCCAGCCTCTGCCTGCCCCACACAGATGCCTGCAGCCCCGAACTAGAGCGTGTGTGGGGACCCCCTTCGGATCAGAGCGGGCAGGGGGCACAGCCAGGCCTGGGGCCGCCCAGCTGCCTACACCAGCGGGGACAAAGAAACAGGGCCCCTAAGGGCCCCGCTCAGACCGGTGCATCCCCGAGAGCCCTGCAGCCTTCCAGGGCGGGTCTAATCCTAGGGGCTCACATGCACACCTAGAAACGAGAGCGGCCTCAATTCCTAGCGCTGGAGATGCCGGGAGGCTGACCAAAAAAGGTAACCTACAGTGCTGCAGTGGGGGGTGCAGGCCAGGGCTGTTTTCTTGCAGCAACTGCTGTGCAGAGACAGACTTAATCACGGGGCTTTTCTTAAAGCCAACCTCCCAACAAGCACCCAAGAAAGGCCCACTACGTACTTGGCCACCAGCTCATCCAGCAGCAGGGAGTTCCAGGGGTGAATCCTGCCTCTTGCAGGAACTGAAAACGTCTCCCTACAATTTTAAACGTGCCGCCTGTATACTGCCTTACTCTTGAGGGGTAGGCGCTTAGGCCACATCTCCACTAGGAAACTATTTTAAAATAACTACGTTAAAACTCCCGGAACTCCGGGGAAACCTCGAAATGAGTCCAGGCGCCCCGACCGTGGACGCGCTCCCTCGCCCTAGCGCCCCAGGGAGCACTGGGGAGTGGTTATTTCGAAACAGCAGCAGTGGAGCGCCCACACTAACACTGTTTGGAAATTAGCACGAGTCCTGAGAAAAGCAAGCCAAGCACGCTGGGCCCCGAAGAGCAGCCCAGACCCTTGAAGGAACAGAAGTGCTCAACCTTGGACTCCTCCCCGGGGCTGCAAGGAACAGAGGGGCTGGGGCTATGAACCAAGAGCTGTCTGTTGTTCAGGCCCTCTGGGAAGACAGTGGCGTCTAGTGGTTAGAGTGGGGGAGGACTTGTCAGTAAGGCCTCCTGGGATTGGGGGGGGGGCGGAATGAGCGTCAGGGCTCCTGGGTTCCAGGCCTGCTTCTGAAGAGGGGAATGGGTGGTTAGAACAGGGGTGGGAGAACACCCCCTATAACCAGGCAGCATCTGCTGGGCTGCCCCTCCTAGTGGCCGTTCAGTGCCAGGGGCTCCAGGGCCTTCAAACCCGGCGGGGTCCCCGGGCCATGGGAAGGGGAGCAGCTTGGAGTTACAGCCCCCACCCCAAGCTTTGCTCCGGCCCAGGTGTCGCTGGTCTGATTTCTTCAGGGACCACAGCCCCCCATCGCCCATGCGTGACTGACCATCCCTAGCAGCCCCTGGACCCACCCTGCCACAGCCCCCCGCTACTTGTTTGACAGGTGGGGGGTTGAGGGGGGGAGAGGCCACTGGTGCCTGGGCCGAGCCTGGGGAGAGGCCGGGAAGCAGGTTGCTGCTGCTGAGCCACACATCAGGGATGGCTACTACAAACCGCCCCTGGAATACTCCAGGCAGGGACTGGGCCATGTGTGTCAGTGCATCAAGATGCAGCCGCTTCTGGGGTGCAGCCATGGGGGACGGTTTATACAGGGATCCTGGCACCAGCACGGAGATGCAACAGCCCGACGGCTTTGTCTGGGGGAGGGGGGCGCCCTGGAGGGAGGCCCCTGCCTTTCTGCTCCTGCCCTATAGAGGAACAGTGGGGCAGCCTGCACCGCTGGGGAGAGCTGTGCCCCCATCCTCCAGCACACAAGCAGGCCAGCGTGGCAGGGTTCATGGCAGCAGGCACTAGGAGACCTGCCGAAACACAGCCCCGGCGCTGGGGCCCTCGCGTTATCGCCTCTCAGCCACGGCGCAGGCACCCCCCCGCCCCCCGCACCCCAAATC